CACACACACACACACACACACACACACACACACACACATAAATAAAATAAAAATGCAATCTTTAAAAAAAATAAATAAAGTAATGGAGAAGCAATGTACAAAATGAGATACTCAACTGATAGAATTACATAAGGCAAATGAATTTTAAGATCATTTAACTGATTTATGCACAGAAATCATAGTAATATACTGAACTCTGGGTTTATCACAAGCTCCACACAGACAAGATGGGATGTCTACTGTTTATTCAAAGACATTAATCTGGAGAGATGGCAAAGATTTGGGATTGAGTGGGGAGAAGAAAGAGATAAAGTGTCAGTGGAAATATTCATTGTAATACCAGACCTAAGAATTACACAAAGGAAAACTATATATTACCCAGGTATTCATACGAATGCCATAGAAAAGCACACATTGGCAATTGCTTCTATGTATCAAGGAAGAGGAATAGTACCAGGCATTGAGAGCAACTGAGACTGAAGGTCATCTGCAGTGTCTTATCTTGCTTGCAAAAAGAGCTAGACATAAGTAAGACAAAATCTGCATTGTGTGTCATCTACAGATAGCGAATGGATTTGTTATGTCATGCATATGCCTTGTGAACATAGATGCTTTAATTTACATTACTCCATGTACTTTTATGGATAGAAAAATAATCCTCCAGGTCAGGCATGATATTGCACACATATAACCAATGACATTGGAAGAATGATGCAGGAGGACCACTTGAGCCTAAGAGTTTGAGGACAGCTTGGGAAATACAGTAAGACCTGTCTCTTCAAACAAACAAACATTTGTCCAAACTACTGCTATATAAAGCTATTAATATTAAATATAGATATAAAATCATCAACCAGGAAGACGGCTCAGTAGAATAAGCCCTTGCCTGGCAAGCACAAGGGTCTGAGTTCAATCCCTGGTTCTGCCAAAAAATAAAAAAAAAATAAAATCATCAGTTCCCCTAACAATGTTTTCCTAGGCAGTAGGCTGCAATGAATTGGACTAGATCTGAACCTTGTGTAACAGCTATACAGTTTTGCTCTGGGATCACAAATATGCTGAGTATCTAGTCTGTGCGTTCACTCCTCTCTGTGCCCATTCTCTACTGGATTCCAGCTTCTAGGAGGTCTCAATTGACACAAAGTGACAATTTCTTCACAACTGTGGTACTAATTAATGTCCAACTAAAATATATTGCTTCATCATGAGCTACAATGGCAGGCATCAGTGCTTCTATTTTTGAATAAACTGCTTTTTTAAAAATAATTTTACAATTATAGTAAAATTGGAAAAAATATAGAAAGCTTCATATATCCTTCACCCCATTGCCCTTCAGTTTAAACATCTTCATCAATTTATTTCTTATACCTTCAAAAGAAGAAGATACATCACTTAGCCAATTATGGAACATGGTCAAACTTTTCTTTTTTATGGTCAAATTTTTCTAGGCAGTTCTATAATAGTGAGTGGTTTGGGATTAAGGAGATATGATTTTGGCTCATGTTTACTTGGACTTTGATGCATAATTATGGGCAGATTGGATCACAGTTCATCATGCATGTTTGAATGTTGGACTAGTCAGATATTGTCAAGGTATCTTTCATGGAGTGTAGAGCACACGGAATCTCTATGGTTTCTACTCTGTGGTTTCAACCATTTATTTATTGAGAGTCCATATAATATTTCATTCTGGAGAAGAGTTTCTTTCTCTTTTCTCAATCTAAAGTATTGAAAATCATTAATTGCCAAAGTTGCCCTCATACTGGCTGTAGGAACTGGTGGATACTGGGGATACAATATTAAAGCAGAGGCAACTTGTTAAGCAGCATGAAGAATGCCAAGAATTAGCTCTCCCATTGTCTAGGAACTGGGCGCAGATTCAGTTGTTCAGCTCTCTAGAAGCTTGATACTGAGGAAGCTAAGGATAAAAACACAGCCGCTTTAATGGGTTGGAAGACGTTTTCAAGTTTATTTATTTTTCTAAAAAACAACTGGGACTGGGCTTTGGCAGGTCTGCCAGTGGATTCTGTTACACTTTACAACAGTGCTAGACTTTGCATAAACTATCTGTGGCATTTGAAATCCAGGCCAGCAATTCGACATGTATCATTTTGGAATGCTTTCCCCTTGTGTTCGTAGCGGCTGGTCTCCCAGCAGACTGTGGCGGAGCACATCTCTGAACGCAGATGGGGGGTCTTATCTCTGCATCGAAAGCATTCATGGTCAGAGAATTCGCCAACATGAACAAAGCTTTCTTATTGCTTAAATACGATTTTCTCTTATCTGGTCAGCTCTATCAGCACTAGACAGGGCTTCAGAGGAACATGCTGCTATTATTTTATTCTTCTGTTTTTCTATTTGGTTGTGTGTTTGTTTCACGCTGGCTGCAATCCTGAACAGCGACAGTCAAAGCAGATCAGAGAGCAATGAACAAATCCAGCTGAACCTTTGCCCAAAGCCAAGGCTGATCTTAAAGTCATCTGCATTCCTGGGGAGTACAGGAAGACAGAGGGTAGGGGGGAGTGAGTGCTCACCAGCCTCCTGCTATTACAGACAGTGCATAAATCTGCGCATTCCGCAGCCATTCATTGTGGGGCTGTGACATGCCAGGCTCCAGAGTCCTGGGAAAACAAGAGCCTCTGAAGCCACAAGGTTGACTGGTGAGGATACAGGTGTGACCCCACAGTGATTGATTCTATGGGGATGCTCTCCTTTGATCCACGCACATTTCTGTGCCTTCCAGAGAAAGAGGAAATCCAACTCTGTGAAGTATTATTGAGCATAGAGACTTTACTACACATTGCATGGGGACGTGCACAGGAGGTACATGTGGCTCACCCTGACGGACCTTACGCTCTCCTTGCCATTACCTTGGGCTCCGTTTCTCGCTGACATTTTTCTTGCTATGCCTCAGCTTTCT